CATGTTCCTGGTACATTCATTTTCCAAAGGCAATACAGTTTGATCCTCCAAGTCCTTCTTTACCAAGTCCCCCATGTTTGATCACTACCACCACTAGCATCACTAGCATTGATACTTCAATTAAAGATAGCCTCTCAGCCTTAGACAAGTCATGCTGCAGATGTAAGACGGATTTCCTGTGAGGGCCTCCCCACTTATCTACAGCTGTCACACTCACATAACAGGAAGCCTTGCACTTTCTCATCCTGTTAACACAAACAAAGTCAATTGTTTTCTAAATCTTATATATTTCAAGTAGTTTTCATATACCTAAAGACGACTTCCATATATGCCTTTGAATATGAGAAGACTATAATTTATAACAAATAGTATTAAAACTGTTTTCACTTTTTTTGCAGGTGATTGAAATTCATTGTCCAGATATACTGTATTAAACCTTTTAAACATTAAAATTGACCATATGGATAAGGAAATGTATAGTGAAAATAAACTTACTAGTGTTTTAAATTCAAATAACCGGAAATGAGATACAATGTTTCTCAATAGCATGTGAATGTCAACAGTATCATATTCAGGAGAACTATATATTAACTTTTAAGAGATGATGATAAATTACTAAAATAATAAGTGGAAGTCATTTCTTTTCTTTTTCTTTTTATACTATATTCTTTTTTCTTTCCTATTTTTTCTTTTTTTCTTTTTCTATTTTTTCTATTTATTCTTTTTTTTAGTTTGTATTAGTTTTTATCTTTCAAATTGTAATTTTAATAAGAGTATAAAAAGGATGTCTACATACTAATTACAACTGGATTTTTCAGTACATATTTGTTTTATATATTGGTAACCATGTAAAGTCATTTTTCATTTAAAATAATCCCAGTATTGTAATATATATCAATGCTAGCCATAATATCAATGCAATACATAAGTACTTTGTAATAATATCGGCAATATTGAAGAGAAAATACAATCTAGGTCAGTGGTTCTCAACCTGTGGGTCGGGATCCCATTTGGGGTCGAACGACCATTTCACGAGGGTCGCCAAACAATGCAGTCCACCACCTGAATAGAGTCTAATTCTATTGGCTTTCAAAAGCCAATAGGAATTGTCCAGGCTGTCTCTGCCCTGCTGAGCCCGCCAAAAGTCCCATTCTGCAAACGGTGCTGCAAGTTGTCTGCAGCGAAGGCGAGCTGTCTGGAAGTTTCCACCCCTCCCTGCTGAGCAACTACTAAAAATGTAAGTAAAAGAGGGTCAGGGGTGGGAGGTGGGACGCCTGCGGGCGCAGGGAGGGTTGCTGGCGCCATGGGGCCCGGCGGGTGTCTTACCTCCCTTGGGCTGGGCCAGCTGGTGGCCCAGCCGGTGGTCGGCCTGCGCCATCTCTGCCGCTTGCCAGCTACGCCTTGGCTGGCGCAGGGGGCAGCACCACGCATGCACAGCGCTCCCAGGAAGGGAAAGTCCTCAACTTACGACCGGTTGGGTAGTCCTCAACTCACAACCGGTTGGGTAGTCCTCGACTTACGACCGGTTGGGGTTGCGGCATTAAAAAGGTTGAGAACCACTGATCTAGGTTCATTCTATGCTATTGAGCTTTCAAAACTGAGGAATCATTTGCATGTCTTGCTGGTCCCAGTAAAAAAAGCACTACATCAACCTTTTTTTTTTTAAGGAATAACACATAATGGCATCCTCAAATTGCCCATTGTCCATCTCAAAGTGACCTTTGCTTGGTTATTTGTTATTGCCCTTCAAAACTGTGTTTTTCTCATCTTTGTTATTACAAATAGTGGCAAGTGGTCAGTTTGTGACAAATTATTTGGTAAATCTGGAAAATGACACAGGCCTTAGTCACTGATTTTAGGAACATTGTCTTTTGCCTGCAGACCAGTCAGAACTCTGCCACTGTGCCAAAAAGCCATCCCTTCAACATCTCTTGCCAACCCATGGCAGAGAGGACAGGGAGAGCAGGAAAAGTGAAACAAATCTCCAACTTCCATGGGATTAGAAAGGGTGCTTTGCCCCCAGTCTTTCCTTTCCTTCTCTTGGAAGGAGGTATTCTTCTGCTTCTTTCTTCACCTGTTTCTGGTGTGGCTGGAAACTCTATTGAAACAGAGTAAGGTTGGAAGCATGGTCCAAACTTCTTTAAATGTCAAAGATTTTTGCAAGCTCCAGCATTGAACTTTAACATTACTGAATGGAAGAGCAGTGAATCATTCTTTTTATATCTTGGGACCTGAGGCTTCTTTGAGATAATAACTACTTTCTCACCAAGGCCGTTACATCAAATGGAGACTGTCAATCTGAATCTCAGACTGCATGGAGATTTCCTTGCCTTTGTTTTTTACCTGCAACCATCCCTTGTACTCATGCAGAAACTTTCCACATGATTCAAAAGCTCCAGAAGGCAAAACACACAAGCTGCAACTACAAGATTTATAATTCACTCATCACAGTATGGATTTATTAAAAAACATGCTTCTGACCAAATTTGCTTGGTGATTGATATTTTTGATATCACAGCAGATACATTGGAATCAGATCTAATTTTGTTGGATGCTGAAGAAGACTTCAATTTGATCCAGATCGAATTTATGAAGTGGGTTCTAAGAAGATAGGTATTTCCACTCTCTTTTGTTTACTGAATTACAATTTTGTGTCTTCATCCAGTTTTGCTTTTTGTTTTCTTTTGATGCCTTTGAGTCAATGTTAACTCCTGGTGATTGCCTGGACAAGTTATAGTGCTTTAACTACTGCACAAAACTAGCTCTCTTCATTCATTGTCTAGAATTATTAGGTACTGATTTATTTCTACGCTTATTATCTGATATCATGGCACTGAACAAGGATGCCTCTTATCTGTATAAATCTCCAATGTGGTTCTTGAAACATCAACCTCTTTTGTAAGAGAATCTCAAACTATTAAGGATGTAGTAATGCTCAACAGTTATTACAAATTGTGCTTATATGCTGATATTATGTCTATCCTTGATAATTATGCAACACATTAAAAAAGCTTATTAAAGTTGTAAAGCAATATGGTTTAATCCTAATTCTCAAAGAATGGTTAAAAAGGGATGGACATTAAATCTTTTGTGTCAGTGTAAGAAATTTGAAGTTTCTTATGAGATCTGGTGTTCTCCAGCTACAGCCTTGCTTTGGTTTCAAATCACTGTGTGTGTAAATATAATATTGGGTACTAGAAATATTAAAGGATATGGAATTTGTCATCTCACGAAGAGCTTTGTCTCTTTTAACAACAAAAAGGATAATTTTATTAAATAGAGAACTTATTTATCTATGTTTTGAACATCTCTTTATTCTAACGAGAAGATGCAATATAACTCTCAGATGTTGATTTAATAATAAATTAAGGAGTGAATTTATTTTGTTTCATCATCTGTATAATCTGTATCAAATAATTTTTTTCTGTTAATTAGTTTTCTTCTTTGGACAGTTTAACTTATTTTAATCATTACATTATGTTAGATTTTCTTTCTTCACTATATAATCACTACCTTTTTTGTTTTATAGAGCTGCAATTTTTTATAGTTCAATATAAACAAACTTTAAGAAATTAAAGCTGCCACCGTCTGCAAATACAGACATTATCATGCAGTATTGCCTCGACAGCAATAAAGTTATGCACCTCTCAGCCTTGTAAACAAAGAAATTTGTTTCAACGTCGTATGAAATTGCGTCGCAAATCATTCGATTAGAGAACTACATCTCCCAAGATATTTCAACCGGCCCTGCTGCGATTGGCTAGTAAGTACGTGACATCATCTGTTTTGACTCTGAGAGGTCACATGTTTGGGGTCTTCTTTGTTTAGTGTTGAGCTCGAACTTGAAAAAGACAAAAAGAGCGAGCGGCGAGCGAGCTTAAGGAGAACGAAGCGGGAGGCTTGCTACTGGGACTCTTAATTCCAGGGAAAAGCGACAGACAGGTAAACGTCTTCACTGAACAGTTGCTGAGAACTGAGCTGAATTCCTTGAGGCCAAATATGTCATTGGGGGCCGGGTGATCATTTCTGTTTCAGCAGAAACACATACAAAACAATAATACTAATGCCATTAATCTTAAACAGCTTGATTTTAGTGCTAACACTCGTCTGATAAGAAAAAATATATAACACCCCCCCACACACACACACACATACATTGCCCCATCCTTTCGCTTTTCGCGAAAACGTGTTAAATACAATGTAATGGAGTTTAAAATGTATATGGATTCTTTGTAAAATCTGGCCATTATATGGCCAGAGAAAAGGATACTAGCGGTGATTTCTTTCTTCTGTTGCAAGCGCGAAAAAAAGACACATAGCACAAATCAGAACACCGTTAGTGCTGTTGAATGTTTTGTTTGTGCAACCAGAAAGGAAGTGGAATTCATCAGAAGGGGAAAACAATATGCGTGGCGGCGGTGGCGGGTGAGGCGCGTAAAGCGGCTTGCTTTCCTTCTCGACCACTTCTTTAAAATGCGTAAATCTGGATTTGCACTGTTGACGAGAATGATTTCGGCGACTTGTAAAGTGCTAGATTTCGTCTTTTTTAAGGAATCTTTCGTATTTAAGAAAGTTAAATAGATCTACTAACTACAGGTTGTATTTTCCCCTTCCTCTTTCTCGCTTCCAAGTAGTGGTTGGACTTCTATTTCTGTTTGGACCGATTAGAAAGTTTTGGCCAGCAGATTTGGGTTATTTCTGAGAACATCGAGAAATTCGCCCATTGTTTCCCCCTACCCCCAACTGCTTTAGTCACTATAAGCTCCGTTTGGTGACCCTTCTACGGTTAGAGGCAAATGCACAGCCTAAAAAACAATCTATGTAGTCGCCCCTCTCCCGGGCTCATCGACACATTCCCGGGAGATCGATCCCGGTGCGTAGAATTTCTCTCCCCCCCCCCCCCCAATGAGGCGGTTGGAGAAATGGCTGTTGGCTGGTCCCTCCACTGGACTAGACCAGTTTTTCCAAAGGGGAGGACAGAAATAGCTTCAAAAACCCTTAAGCCGACGGCATTTTTTTTAAGGACGTTAGGTATAATTTATATGAGGGAAAAGAAAAGAAAAAGACGATGAAAAGTAGGTACCAATCTAAACGAGTTTTTTCCAAGTTGATTCACCCTCCCCAAAATATTGCAGCTTCCTTCTCCATCTTGAGAACTAAAGGAAAGGGTGGCAAAGGTTGCTGCTGATTGGAGCACTCCCCAGCTGAAGACGAAGGAAGAAGTGAGCGTGCTTGAAAAATTGTATTCTCTAATTGGACATAAAATGCGGGGAGGCGGGTCTTGCTGCCTGCTCTCTTCGGGTGAAGGTGAACTGTAGGATGTGTTTATGCAAGCTCGCCTGGCAGTTGCTCGGGTTCGACTCGAGGCCAGTTGTGTAACAGCTGGCGGCGCTGATTTGGAGTTACGAGGCGGTAGTGTTCCTTTAAGGTTTCTAAGAACTTCGTCTGTTAGGTCAGCGGGGTGCTGGCGTAACCGCGAAAGGTTTTGTCTCTATAAACCGAGTTGCCCTAGCGCTCTGGCAACCTGAGCCTCTTTCCAGATGGCCCTCAGGGAAACAACGTAGAATTTCATTTATCAAGCCACCTTACACCCTCGATCCTTAGAAATACGAATACGAACGTGTAACTTAATGGCATCGAAGTCATCCCGAAACTATAAGTGGGTCCACGTACATTACCGTGTATAGTAAGAGGGAAACCCCATATATGAGCTTGACTTGTTCTTAGGAAAAGAGTGCCTGGTGATTGATGTCCGGTGTTTGGTTTTGGAAATCTCTTCAAATAATACATTGAATTGCAGTAGAACTGTTGCAGTTGGATTTATAAAACTTTATGTAGGAATGAATTAAAGTAATCTTGGAGGCTTCTTGCAAACCAACAAAACATTAATCTGCTTTCCCAAAATAGTATAGAGTAGCAAAGCTTCACATCATAAAACATAGATTTTTTTCCCCTTCCGTTCAATCATGTCTATTTCTCAGAGACTGTCTGGATGGGTCAGCTGCAGGGTTTTTGGCAAGGTTTTTCAGAAGTTATTTGCCTCCCTCTTTCCCATGATTGAGAGAAAGTGACTGGCCCAAGATCACCTAACTGATTTAGTACCCAAGGTGTGAGTAGAGCTCACAGTTTCTAGCCCCATGCTTTGACCACTACACCAAACTGTCTATCAATTATTTCATTTAACTCATAGTGAAATGTAAAGCAGTAAATATTACACTACTAATTATTATCCATTATTTTGTTATTTTATATAATGATACCAGTTTTCATGATTGACCTGTTCAATGTTTGGATGAGAAACTGATGGGAAATTCTAGCACTGTAGAGTTCTATTTGAAAAAGACTTTGCTTTTTTTTTTTCTTTTTTAGAGCAACGAAGAAGAAAATGCAGTTGCTTCATCTTAAGGAGTTATAATTTCAAATTTATGTCCCAGGAGAGAAGGGATCAGAGTTCCAGGGCTAACTTGAGATGAATATGATGAAGTAGAATTAGACAGACTTAAAGGAAGTAAACATCTTTGGTTCCTGTAATTTACCTAATCATTATATGAGGACTGTACTAATTCTGTGCAACATTTGGTAGGTAAAATCAAGCAACTTAAAGTAATATTTTCACAAAAACTACAGTGGAAGTAAAGAGGCATGAAATTGATAAGTGAGATTTATCATTTTAACTCTGTGGTGAAGTAATTTAAAATGCTTTAGGCTATCCACGTTCCTTCTACCATAATCATTAAACTGATTTGCTTGCCATGAAGGGTTTTAAATGCGACAACCAGCAAAATGAATTAAGCCCAAAAATCTACTGGCAATCAATACAGTGACTTCAGGAGTAGTATTATTTTTACTTGAAAGGTACAAGACAGCTGGTTTGGAAAAGGAAGTCATCTTCTACCCAGATACGTTGGTATCTTCAGTGGCACACACAGCTAGAGAAACACTGATCTATTTCAACCATCATTTTAACATAATAAATAGGTACTTTGTTTTGTTAGCCCAGTAGTCTATTCAATAACCATAGTTTTAAAAATCATTGGTAAATGTTACAGTATGTCTAAACCCCGTCTATGCACATTTAGAATATAAAAATTTTGAATAAATTTTATTTTTTTTCTTAACTTCATGAAATTTCTACTACTGTAATGGTTATCATGTCTTCCAAAAAGAAACAGACCTCTCTAGTTCAGTTTATTGTTTACTGAAATAAAACATCCATGTCTAACTAACATGTTCACTTTGTTTCAGATTCAAAGGTTTTAGTGGTGTTCAAGTTCAAGTGTTAAACTGAGAAAGAGCTTCCATTTTGATAATTCAGAAATTAAAGGAATGAATATTTGTTAACCTAAGTAGAATTGATACAGTTTGCATGAGTTGAAGAGGACAGGACTGAATGAAAAGACTTTCGATCTTTCCCTTTATGCTTATCTACCTTGACTCAATTGTTGGATGGCTGCCAGTGATGATTAATACATCAGCAGTCCAATTATAGGCTTCTAAGATTTTCTGGATTACTATTTCATATTTATTTTCCCTCAGGTCATGGTTTTAACGACAGATAAACATAAAATTCACTACAGCCTACTTAAGAAAATCTTCAAATATTACAATACAAATGTTTCTCATGTATCTTCACTAATTCTGTTGATATTTTTTCTACAATACCAAATAGAGTTAAAATGAATTATTTGTAATTGCTAAAGCCCTGTTAGCTTATGCTGACCAGTGTGGTCAGTAACTAGGCATATTTTCCAAGAGAATTCTGTAGGATTTCTTTCTCTTTCTTTCTCCCAGTTTTCCCACCAGAGATCTATAAAGAAAAATTACTAGTGTCTTTAAATAGCGGGTCCAGTGTGAGAATGGAGATGTTTGGATACAAAACTATCCCCATCTTGCTTCTATATCTTTCATTTTGATGTATATTAGATGTATATGCAAACAGCTTTTCATAGCTAAAGTGAAAGTGATGCTTATGAGGATGAAGTTGTAGGTAATTCTCCCTCCCCAAAACACCTCTTCATGTAATAGTATTTAATCTCCCTTCAAAGGTATTCATTCATTCATTCATTCAATATATTCTGTAAAATATCCCTGTGTTAAAGAACTATCAGGATTGGTTAGTTTAGCAAAATAGCTTTAAGACAGAAGAGTTTAGCTTTTGAGACATTGTTTGATCCTTTTGACCAAGCAACACTAGTCCTTATTGCATGGCTGACCTGATGTTTTATTTATTGTAATAATGTCTTTGTACAGTAGTCTGAAATATTTTTAAAATATCTATTTTTAGCACCAAGAAGATATTCATCACATCTATTCTCCTTGATTGCATAAACAATTGATGTAACCATGGTACTTATACTGGGGCGCAGATTGAACAGAGGGGATAGTCGGGTCCAAGAATCCCCAGTCACCAAGCGTAAAGTTTTTGAAATGGACCCAAAGTCTTTATCAGGCCATGAGTTCTTTGACTTTTCTTCTGGATCATCCCATGCTGAAAGTATACTTCAGATCTTCAATGAATTTCGTGACAGTCGCTTGTTCACAGATGTAATAATCTGTGTTGAAGGCAGAGAATTTCCCTGTCATCGTGCTGTTCTTTCAGCTTGCAGCAGCTACTTCAGAGCTATGTTTTGCAATGATCACAGAGAAAGTCGGGAGATGTTGGTAGAAATTAATGGAATTTTTGCTGAAGCCATGGATTGTTTTTTACAATATGTATATACAGGCAAGGTAAAAATCACCACAGATAATGTGCAGTACCTGTTTGAAACATCAAGTCTGTTTCAGATAAGTGTTTTGCGTGATGCATGTGCTAAGTTCCTAGAAGAGCAGTTAGATCCTTGTAATTGTCTAGGAATTCAACGTTTTGCTGATACACATTCTCTGAAAACACTCTTTACAAAATGCAAAAATTTTGCACTGCAAAATTTTGAGGATGTGGCCCAGCATGAAGAATTTCTTGAACTTGGAAAAGATGAACTTATTGATTACATTTGCAGTGATGAACTAGTTATAAGCAAAGAGGAGATGGCGTTTGAAGCAGTTATGCATTGGGTATACCGGGCTGTGGAATCCAGGCGCTCAGTTCTACAAGAAATTCTCACACATGTGAGACTGCCTTTGTTACATCCTAACTACTTTGTTCAGACAGTGGAAGTAGATCAGTTGATCCAAAATTCACCTGAATGTTACCAATTGTTGCATGAAGCAAGAAGATACCATGTCCTTGGAAATGAAATGATGTCTCCAAGAACTAGACCACGAAGGTAAGATGATCTGCCAAGTAGCTGTCTGTTGCATTCCAGAATAATTTCTCCATTATACTTCTATTCAGGGTGTTCAGCTATTAACTTTATAGTTCGATTTGCACATGGAAAAAACAAGTGTGTATGCTGCTCAGTCACTACCATTTAACTGCCTATGCTGAAGGGAGTAATTAAGTGATTCCTATTTTCTGGTCATGTTGTCCTATGCTTGGGGTAGGCAACCTTGGCTCTTTTATGACTCGTGGACTTCAACTTCCAGAATTCCTGAGCCAGCCATGCTGAAGGGAAAGGGAAAGGTTTCCAAGCTGAGCCATGCTGGCTCAGGAATTCTGGGGGTTGAAGTCCACGAGTCATAAAAGAGCCAAGGTTGCCTACCCCTGTCCTATGCGAACCACAGTCCAAAAAAACCTAGAGAGTACAAGCTTAGATGGTGCTTGGTTGCTCAATTCTATTCTCATTCATATACTGACTTAAATTCATTCTGTCTAATTGTTTACTTGTGACCTGAGCCAGTACTATCAGTCAGTAAAGGTATATCTGGAAATCATCAGGTTGCTTAACAATGTTTTCAAATGTGTATGTTGATTAGGAAGAGTTTTTCTTGCCTCACTACTTGGTTAAAGTGAGAATTTTTCCAAATGTTTATTTTAGTAGGCAAGACTTGAGATCTTTTTTTGAAATGTAGCGCTTCAGTCAATTTTAGGTACTGTTGCTAAAATGTTAAAGTATTTAAAGTATAAATATATTTTGTGTTTATAGATCAACTGGCTACTCTGAAGTTATAGTTGTTGTTGGAGGTTGTGAGCGTGTTGGGGGATTTAATTTGCCATATACAGAATGTTATGACCCAATGACAGGAGAGTGGAAATCCCTGGCAAAATTACCAGAATTTACAAAATCTGAGTATGCAGTTTGTGCTTTGAGGAATGACATCCTTGTTTCAGGTAATAATTTTATATTATTTGGGGGGAGGGAGATATAATACCGTAGAAAAATTACTGCTATTTTAAAGAACATATCTTTTTTAATACCTATTTTACTACCTCTTTGTGCATTGGAGAGTAGCTCAATAAAGTGAACATAGAGGTGATTTATGTATCCATTTCTGAATAACTCTGAAAAGTCTTCTTCATTTATATATGTTGATTTCAAATATAAGGAATGTTCAACTTCCATGTTCAACCTGTATATTTGATCTGGTTTCCACTGAAATATTATTCCAGAAAATGTTCTTTGATTAGAAGAGTTTTATATCCGTTATTTTGTGGTCAAGAAGTTTTGAAGGTATATGATTGTTCTGCATTTAATCTTTAGCAGTATAAACTAGAGGTTTACAAAACATTTCACATTGAAACAGTTTGAATTTGAGGTAGTCATTTTGAAAACTGGCAGCATTTTGTATTCAAAACAGATGTTTTAAGCTTTCTGAACCTAAACACTTCCAAAATGGTCAAAGCAACATATCTAGCTTGAAAGAACCTTTTCAGATTCATAACAGAGCATTTCAAACTTCAAACATTTCAAACTCAGAAAAACATTTTATATACTTCTCCCTGCAACATAGTAATGCATTTTCCACAGTGAAGCCCAATAGTGACAGTGTTTATCTAATAATAACCAGTTCTGTTTTTCAATAAGGTGGAAGAATCAACAGCCGTGATGTATGGATTTATAATTCTCAACTTAACATTTGGATCAGAGTTGCTTCTCTAAATAAAGGGAGATGGCGCCATAAAATGGCTGTCCTCCTTGGTAAGGTAAGAGATCTTTATTAGATACTTAATTTCTTAAATACGGTTGCAATAAAACACTAACACAAAATCACATTGAATTCTCTGTCTTAAAGATGAGGTTTGGTGTTGAAATATGTCATTTTAATCTGGTTTGTGGATATACTGTATACATTACATTTGATGCAAAGTTGCTGTTGAAAATGGGTTTCTTAATGTCACTTTTATTTAGCAAGCAGCCTTTCTTATATCTTATTATGATACACACACACACACAGAGAGAGAGAGAGAGAGAGAGAGAGAGAGAGAGAGAGAGAGAGAGAGAGAGAGAGACAAACACATACATACTTTTTATAGCCAAAGGACAGAAACAGAAAATACTGTTAAAGATAATGAAATAAATCAACATATTGAATAACGTCAAGATAGCAAGTTATAAATATGGGATATGTTTGTGCTTCATGTTTTCTATTTTCTGCTGCTACACAATATTTGATATAGTCTGAGTTGAAGAGAATTTGGTCATGTGAAGTGTTGCATGATGAAGTAGGAGTAAGATAGGCATTACGAATATCCTTTCAGGTTTTGTGTAACTTGGCATTTCTGTCACTAAAAAAATTAGAAGACAAACACATGAGGATAACATTTTCTACATATTCCAACAGGTGTATGTGGTTGGAGGATATGATGGGCAAAATCGGCTGAGTAGTGTGGAGTGTTATGACTCTTTTTCCAATCGATGGACAGAGGTAGCTTCACTTAAAGAAGCTGTCAGTTCTCCAGCAGTTACCAGTTGTGTGGGCAAACTGTTTGTGATTGGTGGAGGTCCAGATGATAACACATGCTCTGATAAGGTTTGGTATTTGAATTAACTTTTCTCACATTAGTAATATTTAAAAAATATATTGTCTTCTATTAAAGAATGAAAGCACACATACACATATACCTATTTTGTCCTTTCTCGCAAAATTCTTCAAAACTTTTAACAAGCATGTTTTATAAATCCAATATAAGAAAATTATCCAGGTTACTCTCTTGGTTTATTATTTGCATATCCATTTTAATTATTAAACATCAGTCATTTCTTTTGTGTGTGGAATGTCACATCTTTTTCCATGTCAAGAATGGAAAAGACACCTCCAACTCAGTTTCAGTCTCGTCTTTTACTCAGTCCCTCCATAGAGTCACATGTCTCTGATAACACATTTAATATTAACTTCTGAGCCCATTTTTCAAAATAATATCAGTTAGACTATTCTGCTCCATTCTGTAAATGTAAATCAAGTCTGTTTTTTTTTAATTATAATGTTTAATTACCTTTAGTGTCCACATTTTAAAATCTTACTTTAAAAAATAAATAAAAGCATTGTCCCACAGGAAGGATTCTTTATAATAAATTCCTAACTCTTATTTCAAATTTATCTGAACCCCTGGTCTGTTGGTAACTTTCTAAAATCAAAATTTTAATCATCATGTTTATTGGTTATTTATTCAAAAAATGTTTTAAATTTTAAACTTGTAGCTAAAATTTTGTTTTGATGAAATTGAAGGGACACTCACCCAATGCTGTCAAACTTGCCAATCCAAAGGTTTTTAACTGAAAAGCAGTTAACAAATAATTTCTGAAAGTGATTAAAAAATAAATATGCAAAGCCAGTGTCCTTTTAAAGACAATGGACTGTGGTTTGAGCACGATGGCTACTCCCTCATGTCCCAGAGCTCTAAAACCTCAAGAGCCTGCTATCTTGCAGTCTCCTCCCAGGGAACAGCTGTCTGGAGCACATCTTAAGTTTCCTTGTCCAGAGAGATTCATAAAGCCAATTGCTACTTCTCTGATTCAATGTATTACTGATTGCTTGACTTATTTTTGAACCATTATGTGAAATAATACATTTTACACATTTTGCAACTGTCATTAAATGTTGTTGGTTTAAGGGGATTTTTTTTAACAGGAGTACAACTGAGGACAACTTGAGCCTATTTTACTCTTAGGTGAAGATTAGGTAAAGGCAGCATCATGACTGTGCAGGATTTATGCTGTGGTTCAGTATAAGTGATAACAAAGCCTGAAAGTGATGATTTCTCTGCAACAAATAGTTTTCACTACTTATACATAACCAAAGAGAGAGAGATTCCTCAATTTGGTCAAGATTCAGTAGTTCCAGATTAGAAAGTTTAATGGCTTACAGAGTCTGCAGGCCAGAATATTTTCTTTTCAGAATTTCACATATTAAGGAAACTATTATCATATGGTGAAACTGACTTGCTTTCAAGTTTATATTTTAAAATGTATTTTAAACCATATTTTTAACTATGTTGGATCCAGATAACACACTGAATAGCAAAGAATTTAAAAACAAGCTTGCTAGAGAAAGTGAGAGGGCACATATACGAACCCAGGGAAAGGCAAGTCTTATTTTTCTCAGGATAAACTGTGATTCCTCAAGACATTCAAGTACATCTTTTATTTTTAAACAATTATACTTGCTAACTAAGCCAAAAAGAAAGTATGCAAATTTTATAATTCTTATGGTAAATGAAGGATAATCTTTGATTTGCTCATTATTTATTGCAATACTTAGTGAATGATGTTAAGAATCAAAGGAAGCAGAATTTATAAGTACTATATAATATACAGAAGAGGTGCTAAAAATTAACATGTATTTCCTTCTCTTAAGGTTCAGTCATATGATCCTGATACTAATTCTTGGCTCCTCCGTGCAACAATTCCCATTGCGAAGAGATGTATTACAGCTGTATCATTAAACAATCTCATTTATGTTGCTGGAGGACTCACAAAAGTGATATATTGCTATGATCCAGTTGAAGATTATTGGATGCATGTGCAGAACACGTTTAGCAGACAGGTAACAACTAAGGGCTAAAAAAATGCTCATATCTACAAATAAAGATATGTTAACATAAAATGATTAAGTGCAAAATTAGGAAAGCTTTTTATTTTTGTGATACATGTTTGCTTTTCATGAAATTGATACTGGAGCATTGGGCTTTTATTCCATAGGGCAAAGTGAATTTTGCCATCATGCTGTACTTAAAGAAGTAAGCAAGTTTTTCCAATTTAGGTCTCCAAATATACTGAATTTATTGGCTAGCATCATAATTTCGATGGGAAATTATGGAAGTCCAATATATTTGGAGGGTACAAAACAGTTTTGCTTAAAGGTATAATTCAGCATAAGAATAACTGAAATATCTGGAAAGTTTTATGATGGTACTATGCTGGAAGTTTGCAGAAACCATCTCTGGACTGAGCTTGATATTTGATGGTTTTCATTAAAAAATCGATTGATTTAGAATTTGCCCATATTAATATCTATAAGAGGCAGAAAGCATGATACAAAAGTTTATTGACAGGGAATATACCAAGCCTAAGCTTAAGAAAAGAGATCTATAAAAGAATGATTTAGTATATTTCTAGCAAAGCAATTATTTTAACATAATTTCACTCTTTCTCTTTTTGATCTGATGATCAGGAAAACTGTGGCATGTCTGTCTGTAATGGAAAAATCTATATCCTTGGTGGGAGAAGAGAAAATGGAGAAGCCACAGATACTATTCTTTGTTATGACCCTGCAACAAGCATCATTACAGGAGTAGCTGCCATGCCCAGACCAGTATCATACCATGGCTGTGTGACTATTCACAGATACAACGATAAGAAGAATTTTTGAGTAAGAAATTAGGCTCATATTATTGCCAGGATTTTTAGGATTCATTTTAAGAACAGGAAAGCAGCCTTTTCCAAAGTGTCATATGGAAAGAAACACTGTTGTGTTTAAAGTCTGAAATGTAATCAGACTTGATTGTTAAATATTTCCCATAGTTACGATTTTTAACTTCTTCTGAAATCATTTACAGTTGATGTTATTAAATAGATCATACTCATGTCCATATTGTATTTTTTCAAGTTTATTTCAAATAGTTTCACCTGTATTTTTCATATTTTAATGTGACAAGTACTGTGATAAGTCAATGTGAAAAACTGAGTTTATATATGTGTAAATGGTTTAAGTAATATTTGCCTTTTATTTTCTTTCATTAATTGAATTTATAGAGCCACTGTTAGAATAATGTTTAAAATATATGAAAATAATATAAGTCTATGTTGTCTTGTATCATCATGAAAGATTTTTCATCAGAAAGCATATTAAAAATATTTAGGTCCATCTGTATGTAGAATCACTCAGTTAAAGGGGAGTTTCATTTTTGTTAGTATGTGATTACTTTTCATTTTACTTCTAAATGAGACCTTAAAACATCTTAGTTACTTACTTAGTTATTTGCTTAGTTAGTTTTTAAATCTTCAGAATTTCCATTTGAAATACATCATAGCTGTCCATCAGAAGCCCAAAGAAGCAATAATTAGAATTAAACTCTGCCACTCACTATGTTGGGCTTCAGTATTGTTCCCAAATTGTTAAATAACAACTTTAGATTTCAAAAAATTCAATAATAAGGAGCTTTTGCTTAAGATACAGTAAAACCAATGAACAAGCAGTTGATTAATCATTATCTTCTATTAAAGAATGAAAGCATCTGCCATGTAGCTGTTATTAATATTTTTCCAGGTAGCATCTCTCTGTGACATGGATCATTTTCTGAATTGCTTTTTTTTCTGTAGCATACCCTGTACAACTTGAAAAAAATTGGCATATTTTAGTCTAGAAAATGCATATTAAAACATGGTTTCTAGATGTGAAAATGATAAGTATACATGTCGCCAGCACTTTTGTGTTGCATATTACTGTGATCAGTAGTTGTATGATAGTACAAGAACATATTTTACAAGGAAAATTCATTATGCTATTTTGTACATCATTGTTTCCTTCTTGAATATTTTCCACATAATTATTACACTGCTGTGAATATTACGAATTTTCCTTGGACATTCTCGCATAGGTAAGTTATGTATATTCTTTTTCCATGCTCCATTTTTACATCTGTTGTTCATGTTCATACAGTTGTTTAACTAGACTATAAGCCTTAGTCTCCCACATTTAACCTTATCAGAAACTGAGTGAAGCAAGTTTCCCTTAAAAATATGCCTGATTAAAGAGTTTTAGTGGATTTTCAAGCAGTTATGTACTATGTGACGTTTCTGGTACTTGGAATTCATCAAACTTTTGTTTTAACGAGGATATGGCTCAAAATCAATTATTTACTAAGTGCTTTCTTTTCTATTTGTGTGTTTGCAGTAGGTACCTTTAAATATTTTTAGCATTGACTATACAGTACTTCTATTATTGGAAGCATTTGTGCTGATGTGCAATAGATTATACATGTAATTTTTCAGTAATATATGAATTAACAGTTAAATGAGTTTGGTTTCTGTGACTAGAGCAATCCAGTTAAGTCGTTTTGCTCCAGCAGTGAAACAAAAATAGATTTTTATTGAAATCAAAGGGGTTGTTTCCCCTCTTGATTTCATTGGGAAGCTATTCTGTTAGTGAAAAGAAATGCACTCCATTTCACCAATAACATAAAAATACATTAAGGGAGAGCTAGGCAACCTGTTGCCTTTGAATCTCCTTTTGCAGCCCACAAAACTGTGGCCACTGTTTCTGAAAACTGACAATAATTTTTCCTGCCATTTCAAGAGCAATAGCAAACAAAAACTATCGAGTTTTCTATAGCAAGTCCTGTCAAAGTTAAAAATTGGGAACTCCATGAATTCCCTTAAAAACATCCTCTTGTCCACATATGTCCTGTTTTGTAATCTTTATTCCTTTATCCTACAAAATCCATTTTAGTGTGTCCCTTGACCATCACATTCACTACTTTTGCATGAAATATATCACTTGGCAGGAGATTTTTGTTAAAATTTTTGTTAAAATCCTATTTTGAATGTACAAAGTACACAAATGGCTGAACCAACTGGACTTAACCAATTGGACTTAACAGTATCTTTTTTTCTTGGCAACTATTTTGGAAAAGTTCCATTTAAAAACAAGGTATACCTAGATACGGTATGGTAATGGTATGTATACCTCTACTTGGTATGTTTGCTTGCTTATTTTCAGCTATAGTGATGATATTTTTTTTCCTTAAAACCTCCTTGCAACTACTGTTGGGTCGTATTTGATCATAATTAACTTCAGGAAATTCCTGTTTATAGTTCTGAATGAACCAAGTTGCAAATATCTGTTTGAAAATGTCAATGCATGTCACTTGTTTATACAGCTTGATAGATTGTGCCAAATAAATCTTGCTTGCCATCTATAGGAAATTTGCCCTATTTTACATTTTGGTTATTTCTATTTTAATTTTGCATGCTTACTGTTATACTTAAATCCACTCAATCCAATTCGAAGGGGCATAGCAGGGGGAAAAAAATTACCTTATAGATATTTACATATTTCAGTAAGAATCATTACAGGTATATAATCTATAGTTTACTTGGTTTTATTGTAATATGCTGGATTTTTTTCCTATAACTACAGTCACTGGCATACATTTTGATGCTAACAGTTGCCCATTGTTTGATTACAGTTGTCAGCACCTTAGACTTGTATCTACAAGGCCCATATATAGCTGTACTTTTGTAGCACAGCATTTATAAGGCCATTCTCTTAAAAACTCAGTAGCTCAAGGGAAACACCTTTTCATAACCTTAAAGCATCCTTTTGCAAGTCATTGTTTCAAAAGCCATTTCCATTTGTGTATACTTTGTTTTGTTAGTAAGTCCCAGTTGAAGTATCTGGGTATGTAACATGCACACTCAAGGCAGCTGGGATGCGATGTGCAATCTCTCTGGAAGACATAGACGACTGAATGCTTTGAAAGGGCCTAATCCATGCAGACCAATGATTTATTATGCATTTGTCCCAAATGCTTTGCAAAATCTTGCCATGTTACTTCATCAGAGTTGTGGAATCTGTATTCTTAATCAGACATCCTGCTAACTTATCTCATTTTTTGAAAAAGAAAGCATTTTCCTTTGGCCTTTTCATTCCTTTATATAATTCTACCATGTGTAAAAAGTGAACAATGTAATAAAAAAGTAGAATATGATAAAGTAATCTCTCAATAAATTTATGCCTGATGTTATATTTAAAAAGTCTATGCAACTATTCTGGGGGGGGGGAGCAGATGACTTTTATTAAAATATACCTAGAATTATTTTCACAAAGTTCCAATTTTTGTAAATAGGAACCATTGTTAATGTCTAATGTATACTAAGTTTTTGTAGGTTGAATAATTGCAAACCAGCAACTAATCTTGATCTTGCAGTTTTTGTGTGCTTTCTATTGTAAATAAAAATGTTTTGTTACTATTTCTAAGATGCATATTTAATATGTATTTAAAACTGTACTATTCTGTAATACTCTGCACTTGGCCTTTTATAGTTGTGGAACAGCAACCTGCTTGTGATTCTGACAGGCTTTTTTTCTGTTTACATTAAAATTGAAACAAATGGTTGTATCAAATGCAGAGAATGAATGTACACAGTAGTAATTCAATAGATAACAAGTGTGCATGTTTAATATATATTTCAGGATGTCCAGGCAATGTATATGCCTCACAAAACATATGAGGTGCACAAATGATTTATTTTTACTTATTTCCACATTTGGTATTAAGAATCTGCTGCTAATTGCAGTTTTCCTGTGTGAAAAAAAAAAAATACTCACTGTAGAAATCGACCTTCTATCCTTCACAGATTGCTTGATCTTTGTTAATGAAAATCTTTCATTTGTGAAGGATTCCAAAATGGTTGGAATCCAGGCAGCAGCATGCTAATACTAAACAAAACAATTTGCATGTGAAATTTTAAAACAGTGGTTCTCAACCTGTGGATCGGGACCCCATTTGGGGTCGAACGACCATTTCATGGGGGTCGCCAACCCACGTTGTCTGCCATTTTTTCCCTTTTCCCTAGCTGTCCTACTCCCTCTTATTGGTGGGCACACCCACTTGGGGGTCACCACAACATGGGGAACTGTATTATGGGGTCACGGCATTAGAAAGGTTGAGAACCACGGTTTTAAAAGTAGCTGAATATTTACTCAGAAAATGTATTGGTCACTGAATTATGTGGCTGAAGTTATTTGGTTCTTATGCAATCCTGGAAATACTTTTAATTACACTGCTACCTAGTTCTTAAAAGATTGCACCTATATGAGTATGTTCCTGAAAATTTAGCACAGGGCTGAACAACATACATGTCTCATGTGACACTTCAACATCCCATTTTCAAAAGCCCAACAAATCTGACTGTTGACAGCATGATTTTTGTTTTGTTTTGTTTTGAAATACTATTAGAAGTGGAAGCAGAAGGTCTCTAGGACAGTGCTTCTCAACGTTTGTGTGACGGCGACCCCCATCACACAAACGTTCTGCGCATGCGCGGTGCGCATGCGCGACGGCCCCATGCGCGGTGCGCATGCGCAGCACCCCCCATGCGTGACGCGCGTGCGTGAGGCCGCCCCCATGCGTGGCGTGCGTGCGCGGTGCGGCCCCCATGCGTGGCACGCGTGCGCGGGGGGCCATGTGCGGTGCGCGGCGCCACCCCCATGCGCGGCGCGTGTGCACAGCCCCCCCATGTGCGGCACGCGTGCACGGCGCCGTGAAAAATAGCGGATCGCCGCCTTTGGCGACCCCCGAAAAATGGTCGATCGACCCCAAATGGGGTCGCGACCCATAGGTTGAGAACCGCTGCTCTAGGAGTTAAATTGTATTTATATCTTTAATCTACCCAAATGAGCAGAAATCTGTCACTTCCTATGAGATCCTCAGGGAATCTTGTATCTGGCCAAGGAAGAGTACAGTAATCTCCAATTCTTGGAAAACCACCCATCTCTATTATAGCATATTCTATTTCACTGCATCATCACGTATCCTATCATGTTTAAAAATCATGGAAAATTTACAAGAGGGAGTTAACCATCCTGAGTTACATGAAGATAGACCAAGCTAAGTTTCACTTTTTCTGATACAAAATTTGTCCTTTATAAATTTCCTGTTATAGAAGGATTTAGCTGAAAAATGAAACAAAAATACCCACTTTTTTTTCCTCTTCTCAACTTTTGTGAATATTTAGAGAAATACTACAGGTTAGATGGCAGCTAACCTCATATGAAGCTTACTGGGTGAAATCTTCAGTTATACCACAAAACACTGAACTAGGGACAGTAATTCTAATGATTTGGTCATTTTTACTGTACTTACCAATATGCTTTATAATGATACTGTTGTCTTTTATTGAATTCTGTTTATTTTTTTAGCTTGCATTATAATACTGGAGTGTATCAGTAGGTATTTTAATGTTATGTGTATGTATTTATAAGTATGTGTGATTTTTTTTGATGATTGCTTATAAATTATTCTTTTTAAAGCTACTATGGGTTGAAGCAATATGTGAGGGTGAAACGCATTTGATTGTAGTTTATTTGCATAATTAATCCAAAGAACTGAACTGTATATTGTAAATAAATCCATTTTAATATAATCTTTCCCCCAAAGACAAATTCAGAATAAACATTGCTAATTTGCATCATTCTGTTTTCCTATTTCATTCAAAAATTTAGATCTTTATTATGTAAACGTATATTACTTATTGATTTAGATCCTGCTTTTCTGACAATTACAAGATCCTAAAACTGAAAAACAATGTAAAATAAAACACAGATGCTCTTTCATAATTTAGTATTTAACCACTAAGGCTACATGTACATGTACTTTGTACTGAATACACTTGTACTTTGAAACATATTCAAAAAACCGTTAGTAGCCAGTGCAGGATTTTCAACATGAGAATGTGTTCTCAGTTGCTGCAGTATTCAGTATTCCAGTCAATATATTTTTCAGCTTCTAAACAAAGCATGTAGCAGAAATTGTTTCAGAAAGAATACTAGATGCAGCTACAGAAAGTTATTCCTTGGCACTGCTTCTACCTGACTATCAAAAAAAGCTGAGACTAAAAGAACAATCTCAAACTTGAGATTTCAGGAGCAGTACATCTCTATCTCCAAAAGGATACACTTCAATCCTACTAATCAACAACACATTTAAGATATTTTTTTTAAAGAGCATGCTACCATATAAGCAACAATGGTCACAAATTACTCAATTCTTGCAGAAGGAAACATTTATGTTCCTAATGTTTAAAAGATCTTAGTTCCACTGGGAAAAATACAATTTCCATAGCAATCAGTATCACTGCCTGAATATTTTAATATCTTAGTTTGGAAGAGAAATATTTTACTGTAGCTTTCAATTTCCAACTAGGACAAATAGCTATGGTATTCATAAGCAGGAGATTTATAATGATAACTGCTAGATTTCCATTTAAATTCTGTAAGTAGACTTATACAAACTTCCTTATGATGAATACATTGTTCTATTCTAAAATTCAAAATACAATACTAAATACATTGAATATTTAAATTCAATACATATTCTGATTAAACAGCTGACTAAAAGAAATACTCTCTTTTCAGCATATTCCTGTGAATCTAAGAAGTACATAACACATGAGATGTCTCACTATCTCATCAAACACAGATAGCAGCTCTATCCCCCAACTAGTATGCCCTCCTAAAATCTTCTCACATCAAGACTGTTAGTCCTTTTCTTTCTCAAGTCTTCAGACAGGAAGGATGTAACACCACATCACCATAAACCATAAATATGACAGTAGCAGCAAACTCTGGATTATTTTAATCCCAAATCCATTGTGTAGGGCAAAGGGAAGGATGAACAGGAAAAAGGACAAAATGGCCACTGTCAACCAGCAACTGACTTGCTCCTGCTTTCATTACTATCTCCATTTCCCCTGAGCCTGGTGGAATTAGAATACAGAATTGCAGGCTACCTCTGCTCACAGCCAAGAGTTTAATCCTGACCTGCTCAAGGTTGACTCAGCCTTCTATCCTTCTGAAGTCAGTAAAATGAGGACCCAGACTTGGGGCAACATGCTGACTCTATAAACTGTCTTGAGAGAGTATTGTAAAGCACTATAAAGCAGTATATAAGTCTTAAGTGCTATTGCTATTTCAAGCCCAGATGCCAAAAATTGTCATAATCTCAAGTAACTGCTAGAATTTCCTAGATATTGGCTGTTAGAAATAGCTGGCACCAAATAGCTATTGTCAGTCAATATGGAGAATACCATTAGCCACAGTACTATATAGCTGTCTTCTTAACCTCTGAGCACTCACCGTTTTAACCAAACACGCACAACGCCAGCCAGCTGATTGGCAAACAACTCAACCTCTTTAACATTTCTCCATGTACTCAAGCCATCCAACATAAACATTTAGCCTTGATGCCATATAAGCAAATCTACAAACTGTTGTTGGACTGTATTAATTTATGTTTCAATTGGTATGTTTCTTGTTTCCAAATACTCATTGCCATAGAAGTTCATTCTGAACTGAGACAAATGCCCCTGGAATTTTTAGATGATGTATCTGATGAGGAAAATGAGGGCCTATGAAGGACAAGGCAACAATACAGTGTGTAAATTGCAGCTTATATGTGACCACTTTAATAGCTGCCTACAGCATTCCCACGCAGCTAACAACGATTATGATTAATAATCAGAATAACAGTAACAGTGCCAAAAAAAAAAAAAGCAAAGAACGTACTATAAAGAAGTGTAGTGATACAATCTTTGGGGGATTGTAAAGCTCCCTAAACAAAATATCAACGCGCGGAAGAAGAAAAACTAAAAGCGTCACATATCAGTCTTCTTGGCCAATCCAAGTCATTTAGGTTAAAGCGGATGCTGTAGGTGAAGAGCCAAGAACACACCGGCCAGTCCACTATTACTGCCGCCGCCGCTGCCGCCTTCCCGCATCGGCTTCTCCCAATGCCCGCCCCTTCTCCGCTCTCCGCCTGCGCAGCCGCGCCCCTTCGTCGCCCTGAGAGAGGACGGAGCTGATGGCGGCTGCGCGCTGCAGGTGGTGGCCTCGCTGAGCGTTGGGTTGGTTAATGCTAAGGGATTGCTCGCGGCGGCCTTCCGGGGGGTTTTTAAGCAAGCCGGTGAGTTGTGCATTTGCAGCCGGAGCTCCGCTTTATGTCTACCGACCTGAGAAGGGGCAGGGCGGTGCGTGAGTTTGACGAGCGCCCTCTCTGGCTCGGGCTCGACTCTGGCAAAAGACTGGGGGCTCTTGCAAAAAGCCGGAGGCAACTACCTCTGAAAGAGCCGGCTAAGTTTGCTCAGCTACTAACTTCGCTGGGCTTCGGGGCTGGAAAAGCGAAGTACCCCCTTTACGCCCATCTTGCACTCATATCCTAATCATGTTTACTTGGAAGGAAAAACGCTGAGTTTTGGTGAACAGTGTTTTGAGCCTGCTTTAAATCTGCAACCTTACAGACTAACCCTAACTATGTTTCCTTGAAAGTTCACATTGAATTCAGTGGGACTTCCTGTTAAAGACATGTGTAGCCCATGCCAATGTAGAATTATGTTTACCTGTTTCCATTCATTTTAAGTGGTTCAAGCATAACTTGATTGCACTGGTCTGTGCTGTTATGAGAACAGCTCTGCATTTACTATTTGACATACGGAACTTAGATATGAGTTCTGTCTGAGTACTTGTTTTTAAATGCAAGTCAGATTAAAACTATGGTTTTTGATGGGGCTTACCCCAAACACTATCTGACACGGTTTTCAGTATAGATAGGCATGCTAATTACAAAAATATACAAAATATAGGCAGTATTCTGTGTCTTAATATCCATTTTTCTTTGTTCTGAAGATCCTCAGAAGGTGGTACCAAGTTACCATTAAGGACCTCTATTCAGTGACAGTAGCAAATGAGTGCAGTTTCTGATACCCTATTGATGCTGATGTATATTAGATGCTCTTCTGTCTTTGATGTTCCATGATCTTAATACTGTTTTGCAATATTGTACAAGGATAATGTTTCTAATTCAGCCATGAAGGCTATTGGTAATAAAAGTTGAATTATTGTTTAATCTCCATGATTGTAAAATTTTAAATATTTTTAAATGTGAAATTATAAATGAAAGTAGAAAAAATCTGTTTTCACCAACTAAAACCATATTTATTTGACAGGACTAACTGAAAAACAAAACTTTGGGAGGAATCTAAGAAACCTTCAGACAAAGTGAAGAGAGAAAATCAGATTTTGATTTATATGTTTGAGGTAAAAATACTTTGGAAAGATTTTTATTCATTTATAATGGTATACTGGGTCTCTGTGATGTCTACACACCACAAATACATTTACTTTTCAATAGAAAAGAAAGCA